CACTTTATAGGCTAATAGTGTTGTCAGAATGAAATGTTTGGAAGCAGTGTCCCCCACCCCACAAAAAGTGACCAAGTAAAACAAGTCAGACAAGCATGCAAATGTATTTGTAAAGAGATCAATGAAAATCAAATGTTAATTGTGCAAATTTTATCAGCTTTATTATATATTTTGATTATAGTTTTATTGCATTTTTTATTTTATGATTCAGAGCAGATTTTCAATAAATGGTGTTTCTATTTGATAAAAACAATTGATTTAAAGTCTCCAAGATATCCTGCTTTTAACTAATATAAATATGAAGAGAGTTGAATTATAATTTCTCAAAATTTCATAAAATTAAGTAAGTAGAGGTAAAAAAAAAAAAAAACAATTTTTTATTTTTGCAAGAATTTCCAAAACAATGTGTTTTTAACACCAAAAAAGACACTAAAATTTCCAGTACTAATCTTTGGACCACCAGCTGACACAAGAAAAATGAGATTTTTAACCAAAATTTTAAACATGCAAGACAGGATTAAAAAATCTAATAAAATAATCAAAAAATATTTTGGTTGTTCCTCTTAATAATAAACATTTTGCAGATAAAACTTTTTTATCAAGTTTGGAGGGAGGAGGCCTTTTGTCATCAAATTTTTGGAGATACCTATCTAATGGATTCAGATTAATATTCCATTTCATATTCTATAATATTTGGAAAAAAAAAATCATTTGTTTTATTTGACAAACTGAGGTTTTATATTTGTTCCAAGGTTTCTGTAGAAGCAAAAGAAAAAAAGCATTTTTTACCAAAGACTAGAACAATGGCTATTCTCACCACTAAAATGTAGCTTCCCTGTGCCTTTTCTATAAATACTTTCATCATAATTCTTTAGATGAAATCTTCACTATGGTAACAAGACTTTATGAATTTAAACACAGTGCTAGATTAGCAACAAGGTCTCGTTATTTTACAGTTGAATTGGCTAAGATGTAACAATGACTTATATGCTAAGTATCTTTTCTCACACTTCTCACTTGTGGAACTCTCTTCCAGCTTTTTTCCCAACCCACTCAAAAATTTAAATGCAACTTCAATTGTTATCTACTCTCTTCTTGATTCCTCTTCCTTTATTGTTCTCACTTCTCGCCTGTGGAACTCTCTTCCAGCTTCATGATTTCCAGCCAACTTTGATCTTCAAAAATTTAAATGCAATATCAATCGTTATCTACAGTCTCCTTGATTCCTCTCATATTGTTCTCACTCCTTAATAGTTTCTTTTTTCTTATTCTTTTGCACTCAGTAAGCCCTTTTGTCTTAGTGGCTCTACTGCCTTGCATGGGGTGAGATGACTAAAAAAAGGAAAAAAGACAGCTTTATCCATGCATTGAATATTGCTGCTACATCTGGTCTGGTGCTTCTGCTATGTTTATATAAAGATTCTTGATAAAATCCAAAAAAGAATCTGCAATGTTATCACTCTTGACCTGGCATCTCAACTGCATTTAAGTGCAGTACTAGATTGGTGGCAAGGTCTCATCATTTTATAGTTGAAATGGCTAAATGTAACCCTAAGTTCTATGCTAACATTTTCTTCTCCTGCACTTCTCACTCATGGAACTCTCTTCCAGCTTCCTAGTCAACTTTGATCTTCAAGAATGTAAATGCAATATCAATCATTATCATCTGTCTTCGTAATTCCTGTTTTTTTATTATTATCTCTCCTTAATAATGTTTTTCTTTTTCTATTCTTTCACACTCCATAACCCCTTGCATCTTAGTGGCTTTGTTGCCTTTGCTTGGAGGGAAATGATAAAAACAAACAAAAATTGATTTTAGAAAAATAAAAGAAAAGAGTCAACTGCTGTTTACCAGGAAAAGCAGTAGTGATTTATCATGTTTACTAAAAAAACTTTTTTTTTTCTTTTTAAATTGAATTAAATTTCCTAAACAATAAAACTAATAAATACTCAAATAAAAAAAGGATAAAATTAATGATGATATTTATGCAATTTGTAGAGAAGCTCACAGTGTTCTTCAATAATGTTCACATACCAAATTACAGCAGAAGTCACCAACTAATGTTTCAGAACTACCAAGTGCAAACCATCAAACTGTTGTAAATAATAGATTTCCTGAACCTATAATTTCTATGAACTCAGTAATTAAGCACATTTATCACATTCCTTCTTTGTAAATCTGCCCATCAGTTCTTTTCCCTGAGGTCAATTAATTCCAACCTGTTCTTACAAATTTTATAAATAGTTATTTTAAATTTATCCCATTTTTTGTTATAATCCTTATTGTCATTGTTATTTAGGAAATTTAATTCGATAGTTTTGTTTAAAAAAAAAAAAAAAAAAATAGATAAATAAAGCAGGCAATAAAGCCCTACTGCTACTGGGAAACAGCAATCAAGCCAAAAAAAAAATAAAATAAAACAAACAAAAATTGTAAAAAAATAATTGCCAAGTGCTATATTAAGACAGAATATGTAAACATGTGAAACTATTCCCTGCTGAAATTTAAGTTTATGTCTTTGTCAAATCTGGATAGTTCTGTATAATTACACTGGGCAACAAAAAAACGTTTGTCTGTTTTTTCAAATGATTTAGGACAATTTTTCACTGCTGAATCTGAAAATAACATGTTTCTCTTGATCAGGTCATGTTTTTGTGCTAAGTTGAGTTTTTAAAACCATGGTCTTCTGAGCAAATCTATTTCATTTTTGTGACATTATCGATTGAATTTTGTTAATATTTCTCATGCAAAATAAGTTTTTAAGAGAAAAAAAATTGTTTTCTAACAATTTATTAATTAAATGTAACAAACATCGATTACAATAAATTGAATAGTATACATTGATAAATCTAAGTACATGCAAATTGCATGTTACGTTATCTTTGTTCAAAATTCAGGGCTTGAAATTCCATTTATTTAAAGCCTTAAAATGATCAGCATCAGGAGTGTCTCTCTTCAAAGTCCAGCAGTAATCAGTCATCATGACTGCATCCCAATGTCTCTGATACCTGGTCTCCATCTTTTTCATGTCCTGATGGAATCTCTCCCCACTGTTCATTGATCCCAGATTCTCAGGAAACTCATCCATATGTCAGAATAAATAATGCATTTTGATGCTCATGTTGTATCCAAGGTTTCTGAAAACAATCAGCATATTAATGACAAGTTCTGCAGAGTTCCTGGCCTTTTGTTGTTGTCAAGAAAATTCTTCACAACCCAAACACTTTTGTCTGCCACGCTTCCATTTCCTACATTGAGTTTTCAAACTCTGGGTTTCTGACAAGCTGATGGATTTGAGGACCATCAAAGATGTCAGCTTCCAACTTTTCCATCATCAATCCTGGAAAAGCCTGGCACAAGTGATGCAGCCACCGTCTTTGTCCAGAGTTTTGGTGAACTGCTTCATCAAGCCAAGTTTGATGTGCAGCAGTGGGAAAAGTGTCCTGTCTTGGTCCACCAAAGGAATATTGATGATGTTTATTATTCTGCAAGGCAGCAATTCCTCCCCAAAAGGCCAGTCCTTTTTCACGTAATACTGTACAGTGGACCTACTATCCCACAATGCACAGAAAGTATGAGTACTTGGTGAACCCAAACTGTTGTCCCAACAAAAAATTCACCATCTTCAGGTCGACGCAAATAAAGCACTTATGCTGATCATAATGAATTTTCTCCAACACATACTTCACTACTTCATATTTCTACTTCAGTGTAGTCAAGTGAGTGAGTGAGGGGGTACAGTGGCAAACTGGTTGCCATTGTGCAACAGAACATTTTTCAGTGATCATTTGCTACTGTAAATGAACTGTGTCCAAACTTTGGATTTATATGGTGTTTGAAAGTGGTCGCTTTAAGGTTTAGTCAGTGCTGCTGAATTGTTTCTTGATATGTAGAAGTGAATGAGATCTTGAATATCAGCAGTTAGAGTGACATGGCCCTTACTGGAATCTGAAAGACTCTGTAGGTAAGGTCAAACATTGTGATTTTTATACCATTATTCCTAAGAAATTGGCTTCTGAATTATATAATTTTACTTATTCCTAAGTGGCTGTAAAACGTCACGTGGTATCCTTACTACTATGTCTGCATGATATTTTAGCAGTATACCTAAAGTATAACGACTAATAAAACAACCTTTCTGATTTGTATTGTACAGTTGGTGTGGTTTGAGATGTAAGCAATTTTTTACATGTTATTAGTTTATAAATATTTTGGAGACATTTTAATATTTATGTAGCCATTTTAAGTTGAAATTAATTCTGATGGGTTAAAATTATTAAGTTTATAATTAGCATAATAATTAGTTTTATTTTGTGAAATATGTTGCCTATTTAGATATTTTAATGAACATGACAATGTAAAAAAAATCATTAAAAACAACATGTGGCCATAGCTCAAAAAGTTAACCCGATTGAGCAAAACCAATGTGATTTTGGGATTCAGTACATCAAAATTGTCCTAAATCAGCTAAAAAGATTTAGACAATAAATTTAGTGTTGACCAGTGTTATTGAAAAAGAACATTTGATGTATTTTAGAAATGCAATAAAATAAATTTAGAACATCAGTGATTTACTCTTCCACCCCCAATGCAATTAAATAGCAAATGGCAGAAAGGCAAAAGTTATGCATTAACCAATTATCAGTTGTGAATAATAATTTTTTTTTTTTCTTAGAATCATTTAAGGTGGATTTTTTGCTAAAGAAATTTAGCAACAAATTTTAAAAGAGAAATCAAAGTTGTATGAAGAGAGGCTAATGAAAAAAAAATATTTTCAAAATAATGATGAAAGAATTAGGAATTTCTTTAAAAACACAAATCTAATATAAGCAACATAAGGATTTTCCTTGTCTAAAGTTGAAAATATTCAAATAAGTTTTCAAGGCAAATCGCCAATTCCTATGGATAGTTTTATTGCAGATATGTACATTATGATGAACAGGAGAAAAACACTAACGGATGGACCAGACAAGAGGTTAAGAATGTCACTGTTATTGACTTAGGCATAGTATTGTAAGTTAGTTTTCTTCTTTGCTTGAACTTCTATGATAGCATCCATGTAATCTTCATGGACCAACTCCTTGGCTTCACGTCTCAAAGCAATCATACCCTGAAAGACAGAAATAAAGTGTAATTATTAAATAAGAAGAGAAGAGGAGGAGTAGGTGAAATGACAAGGCAAACATTAAGCAAAATACTTACAGCTTCCACACACACTGCCTTTAATTGAGCTCCATTAAAATCATCTGTGCATCTGGCCAATTCTTCATAATTCACATCACCTTCACTAATAGGAAGAAGAAAAATAAAAATAGAACTCAAATCTTTTTACAAATACATAAATAGAGATTTTAACAAAATACAAATGTAGAAATTACATTAGACATTCAACAGGAAAAGTTTTCAAAGTTTGTTCTGAAGAAGAAAATTCCATTAAAACAATTCCTTAAAAGAGCCTCAAAAATCTTCCAAATATATTCAGTTGTTTGATTTTAATTCTAAGCAATAGAATTTCTTTTATAACAAAATTATCTCCCTCAATAAAAAAAAAAAAAAAAAAATTACCTCCCTTAGTAAAGGTATGGATGTGTATTTCTGTCTTCTCAATGTGAAAAGATTTTTCCTCAATATTACACAATTTTTAGGCAGAAAACATTGAAAAAATTAAACTGAATAGAAAATGATTATATTTAAATTTCTTACAATAAAGTGGGTTTATGATTACTACTTAAAAGATTAATAATTCCAAATTCTGAAGATCTAAAAATGAAAGATGTTACCTGACAACTGTCTGATAACCAAAGAGCCCAGTTTGCCCTGCTATTTATATTTAGCCTATAGTGAAATGACAATTTTAAAAAGCTAATAAAGCAATTTCTGATATATCCTGATAAAGATTTTATGAAAGTAAAAATTTGTGCACTAAAAGTGTCACATAAAAAAAAAAAAAAAAAAATGCCAAAATAAGGTTTATATATTATTTGTATATCAGATACATTAAAACGGTTTTTCTGTGTAAGAAACTTATATACTCCTATAATTTTATAAAGGAGAAAAAAATGTGAAGGGAATACAATCCTTCAATGCAGATGAAGTTGATTTAAAACAAAAAACTTTTCAGAGAAATATCAAGTTTCATAAAACTACTATTGATTTGAGATTTTTAAAAAAAAAACCAGGGTTCCTGATATATAAAAAAAAATATTAAAAATTAACTAATTAAATTTTAATATTTTTAACAATTTAAATTTGAATTGCTGAAGCTAAAAAATACAAGTTTTCAGCAAGGAATCTAAATTATTTTTTGTTTTCCCATTTGTTGACCCCCCCCATATAATTTGTTTAATACAAAGCCTATGACTGCAAGGGGTTAATGCGGACTTCCTTTCTATATGAACCATTTAATAGATGTCAAAATGACTATAAATAAGATACAACTGTTTTGACAGAATTTCTTTGTTTTTAATAATGAATATTTTCTAATGCGATAAGCTAACATTTTATTTTTGAGAAAAAATAGATTTGGCTGAACATAGATAAAAGAGAATTAAACAATTTAGTTGAATTGAAAATATTTCAAACTTATCAAGATTGATTATATATACATGAATATCAGAAAGGAGTACAGAAATATTTTGTATCTTCTAAAATCAAATAACCAATCTTATAGGGGAAAAAAAATCCCTTTTTGATGTATGGTAACTGATAAATCTCATATCAATTTTTTTTCTTTTTTTACTGCTGCTAAGAGGTTGATATCCTGTCAGAAATGACAAGGGATTTTTCTATTAAATGAAGATATATTTTAAGAATTGAAAAATGTAAGTTTTAATTCCATTTTTGAGTTAACATTAGAAGGCTACTTTGGTTAGGACAGCTCACAGATTAACGTACATAATAAACGTTATTATGTTTTAAGCAAAAAATAAGTATTAGTTTCACAAAATCCAGTCAGTTATTTATTAATTTTACTAATTTACTTTGAAACAAAAGACAAACTCTGAATTTTTAAGAGATTTTTAAGTTTATTTTCATTTGTAGTCAAAAATGGAGATTCTTTCATTGACCATGGCAATGTCTTAAAAGTTAAAACCTTATTTAAATATGTAATTTTTTTTTTTTCTTTTTACAAATTAGCTTTACTTTAGGCTGTTCTCTTTCAAATAAAAACAAAATTTAACTTCAAAAGGAGAAGTTTAAATTATTTAAGATGTATTTTAAAATTTTCTTTAGAGTTCATAGTGATACTTTATAAATAACCATTAAAAGTGTTATTCTATTATGGAGAAACGAGAATTAGCAAAATTTACAGAACTAAAAACATACCCAGTTTATTTTTATTATTTCAATTTTTTTTTTTTTTTAAAAGAAAATAAGAATAACCAAGGCAACAACAATTCAAGCTGACAGTTTGAATAAAAATAAAATATTGTTTTATTTTGTCAAAATGGTCAGCTTGAATCTATTTTAAAAATAAATAAATTGCTTTATGCAGTTTTAAAATTCATCATTAAAGAAAAATATAAGAAAAAGATTTAAACTGTAAAATCCCATCAATAAAATAAGTCTGATTTAAAATAGGATTCACTTTGCAATGTTCATTCACTTGGTAAGCAATACAAATTTTGATTCATTAGACATGATTTCTATGAAATGAATACAGAATACTCTTTTTGATTCTTGTGCAACATGAATTGTATGGGTGCAGGGATATGAAACCAACTGATTATTAAAGACAAGACATTGTTCTACAAAGAAATGTAAATTTCAATTTTTCAATTGTTGAATTTCTCTGGTACTTCATCCACTAACATTTTCAATTTAGAAACTTTTTGTAAAAGACAACTTCAAACTTTATAGTTCGCCCACCAAATTGACAAGCATCATTTTTCTTTAAGGTCAGACTATTGTCAACTTTTAAAATATGGAAAATCACTGTGCATCATTGAAATAGTGACATAATTTAAAGAGCCATGGAATAATAACTAATAATCTCATATGAGAAAGAATTGTATTCTTAGAAAGAGAAAAGATTAAACTTTGTTTACATACTAATTTTATCAAAATAGCCTTGGAAATAAATGAGATATCAGCAATTGAAATGAAAGTAAATTTTACTATTTTTTTTTACACATGTTCACATTATAAACTAGGGCAGTTTGGGACACCTAATGATATCTAGGTTCATTTTGGGAGCAATTTGTTTTCCATATCTAAATGGATAATAAACTATACAGAATACATACCATAGAGCATAGGCTAGTAAGGACGTTTATTAGACCAACTGTCAACATAATGAATTAGATGCTCTATTCTTATGACCTTGTGCCAGACCATAGTAAATGTTTGCTTTTCTTGCACAATTTTTTTTTTTTTTTTTTACATAATTTAATACAAGAAATACACTTACCAGACATTCATTTTCCTAGAATGAATCTGTAAAATACGAGCCCTTGCTTCTTCATTGGGGTGTGGGAATTCAATTTTACGGTCAAGGCGTCCAGACCTGAGCAAGGCAGGATCAAGAATATCCACTCTGTTTGTTGCAGCAATGACCTTAAGAGAAAATGAAATATTAACCGTTTTAAAAAGGGAATAAAATTCACCTGGTACACAGAGATAAATGGTTGGTAAAAGGTGTAAACACCTTAGCAATGTTTAAACACAAAAATATATAGAAATGGCAAAAGCAAGTATATTTAAAACAAAAAGACCAAGTGTACATGTGATCAAGACAAAGGCAAGGAGTGGCCACTTGCAAAAATGCAGTATTCAAAAGAAAAAATTTTAATTGAAACTTACTTTAAAAGAAAGATTCGCAAAAAGCTTCCACAGATAAAATAAGCAACAAAATTAAACATTTTAAAGCAATTTTTCTATAGTTGATCTTTTTTTATCCACATTGTTAAGGCAAACATTGTTAACAAAATGCTTTAGTTGAATTCAAAATCAATCTCCATCTATATCAGTTGCATATGGTAATTGAATGAGAAAAAAAGTATATAACATTTTTATTTACAATAAATCTAAACAGAAAAAGATTTAAGAAAATAGCATCATCAATAATAGTCATTGCAAATAGAAAGCTGGATAAAGGCTTTTTTCCACTTCCTTCTGTGACAACTGTGACTGTTATTCTCTGTTATATCTTACAAGTAAACTATCTCTCCATCTTTGCTACCAAATGGGAATCAATCAAGCAACCTTTATCTGTTATCCTTTTTTCTTGATATTTGGTTCACACACCTTTATTTTTATCACTTAACTGCTTCCATCATATGTTTTATCTTGGTCTCTTCTCAGATTCATGTTGACCTTTTACAATCTCATAGAGTTATCCCAAGCTTTACTTTTTCCATTGCCCTTTGTACATTTCCGTGTTTGTTTTCAAGCCACTTTATTAATTTCCATCTTTTTTCATGTCTAAATCATAATCAGCATTATACATTCATCAATACATATTTCATGTTTTAATCATATTGGTAAGCTATATTTCCACAGGGTCTTTTTTTTTTTATTAAATACTTTCTGACTAATCATTTAGAATACATTTTATTTCCTTTCATTTTCATGGTCTTTCTTTAATATTCTTATTTGCCCTAAATAGATGAATTCCTGGATGATTTCTAGTTCTTCATCCCCTATTCCGATGACCTATTTTAGAATGTAACAAAATGAACACTATTTTTTCTATTCATCTATAAACCAACATTGAAACTTTCTGTTTTTTGGTTCATTTAGCATCTATTATAAATCATCTGATGATTCAAATATCAATCAAATATTTATAAGCAAATCACAAATGATTCAAATATTTAATTTATATTTACTCCCAGTTTGTTTTTCCAAAAACACTTTCAATACACACTATAAATAATTTACACAATATCATATCCCCCTTGTCTCATTTTTTTTCCAATTTTTATTTTATCTGTGCTTTTGTGTAGGCAAATTATTGTAGGACTCTTATGTATATTCTCAATATATATATTATAATTTTCATTAATACCCTGTTCTTGTAGTAAGTTAAAGACTGCTGAATGTTCTGAGTTAAATGTCTTTTTATAGTTAAGAAAAAACAAAAAAAAAAACAGTGATTTGTCATATTTTTTAACCAGTTGGTCTACTGTTTGTAGATGGTCTATTGTCAAGTAAACATTCTTAAAACCTACATGGCCGATTTACATCTAGCATGTTAGTAACCATTTTAAAAGGAAGGTGATTTCTTAAAGACGAAATAGTTTTTTTTATATAAGATTAAAAAGGACAGTGACCAAGTTAAATGTTCAAAATAAATTTCTAAAGATTAGATTAAATGTTTCATTGAAGTTTCAAGTATTTCAAAATATTTTTTTTTCTCTTGGTTGATGAATTTTATGGAACAATTTTTTAACACAACATTGACAAAGTTTTATTCTGAATCTTTAAAGTGTAACATTGAATATCAGTAAAACATTAATTGAAGACAAGAAAAGGAAGACCAAGTAAAACATTAACTGAAGACAAGAAAAGGAAGACCAAGTAAAACAATAAAGATTAAAAATAATGTAAAAGTTTTTGTGAAAACTTATTTGATATTAATAACTGTTCAAAAAAACCACATTTTACAAAAGCAGCACTCATCAGAAAAAAATAGGATAAGGATGTAAAAAGGAGCAATTTGAAACCATGAAAGAAATTCCACTTAAAAAAGGGGGCACTGGAAAATAAGGAAAAGGAGGTTTTTAAGAGACGGGGGGGGGATAGCACAAAAAATGTCTCAGATTACTTGTACAGCCATTATTTCCTGGCTACAAAGTTAACTATTAACCAAGGGAAATGAAAAATCCCACTTGGCATGACTTATGACCAATCCTATTGCTACTGCTGCTGCCACTTAAATGAGGCACAGAGAATATGTTGTTTCCAACACACAAAAGTACACATTTGTTGGCTGATGGAAATTCTAGCAGACTTAAACATTTCCCATTCATCATCTGTGCTAACATCAGCATATTTATCCCTTTTAACAACCATATAAAGAGATGGATGGAAACTGAGCAAGGAAAAATTTACAATTTCCTTTAGTTTTTCAGCAAAAATTAAATGTCACTTTTATCTTGGAAGAAAGTAAAAGAAATTTTCAAATGGTTCAACTAAATAAAAATTAACCAATAATTTACTGAACTTTAGCTATTAGGTAAATCTCTGGTCATAAAAGATTATTTTTGAATCAAACATTAAACATGAAGACAATTGGTTTGGGTGAAATAAAAAAATAATTTACTGAAATTTTATATTTATTCATGTCTTTATGATTAAAATTCAATAAATTAAAAAAAGATGTGTAAACCAACCACAAAAAATCAACAAATACTGCACACATTTTTCAAACTATTTTTCATTTTTAGAACATTTCTTAAATGTATTGATTGCCACATTCCTTATGTGAATGCTTGCATCCAGCAGTTTTCATACTTTTTTTGTTTCATCACCTCAAAAACATCACACTGCCCAACAGGAGAGTAGAGTTTTTATGGTTTTATGTCAGTGTTATTAACATGAAAATAGAAAAATACTGTGTTCTTACCAAGATAAATTTGTGTTCTGTTATTAAATACTTTTTCTCAGGACTTTGGAAAACTAGATAAGTCATCCACCTTCAAACCAATGCTATTTTTCTGTGTATCAATATTCAACATTTTATTTCTAAAATTAATTATTTAAGTTGTGTAATATTTCATGAAAAAATATTTCAGTCAATCTAATATTTTCATGGCCAAAGGAAACCTGACTAAATGCAACTGAATTTGGATTGCAATAATACGACATTAAACTTATGACATGCTGGAGTCATTCAATCTATGTACATTAAAGTGTTATCCATAATAGAGTCATGTTTTTTAGGTGTAGCTTCAGGAAATTTAATGAGGTCTGCAATATGTCCAATACATGGTGAGTAGGATTTAAATATAGTGAGGATAGGCATATATGAAGGTACCTGGATTTTGGGGTTTCTATTATCTTTCGTATACCCCCATAATTTCCATTTCTTTCCTCCAGATTTTGCAAGTCCAATCAGAACGGCTGGTGGGAGGGGTTTCTATCTCTTATGCTTTCGTCATCCTATACATTTGGTTAAATGTAACTTGTATTTTTGGCATTTGTAGTATCTTAAAGGGGAAGGTAGAGTCCATTTTCTTCATGGGGTGACCAAATTTCTTTTGCTATTTTGTCGGTGTCGAAGGTAACTATACATGTTCATTTGAATTAGCTTGACTTCTCTTTCCTATATTTATTCTTCTAAATTCTATAATCCCTTCAGTTTTGAAACCAGTTTTCATCTCATCAAATGTGCAAAGGAATATTTTGAAGCTTTTCAATACAAACCTTTTATTTGTACACAGCACAGTGGAGAGATATAGGTTTTTTATTTTTATGTTATGGTATGCAGTCTCAACAATTTTCTCTGCTTGCTTTTCTTTTTTATCCCCTCATGGACCAGAAGATTCCATTTGAGCATTTACAATCAATCTGGAGGAAAGGATTGATGGGATGCCATATTTTCCCCGAATAACCTTTATTGTCTAGGTTCTCCATCAAAACCTTATAGACCAATATTGAGAAATGTCAAGAGAAAAAACCCATTCACCCCGACATGACATGCAGGATATAAACACAACAAATGCCAAACACTTGTAAACCATTCACTACCCTACTAAAGTTTTAGTGTGACGTCGGGTGTTTTACAGTCATGACAATGTTTTGAGTCTTTTAAACCAATTTACCATCAGTCAATGCCTTTTGAGATATATATATATATATATATATATATATATATGGAAATAAGTTTGGTGTTGATCCGAATAGTATTTGGACTAGGAATGACTGATTAGTTTTAAAAATATGTATAGGAATGGGTATATATAAGTGTTTGGGGCTTAGTATGACTAACCAATTTATAAGAAGAGGCCTCTCTGAATGCCCATCTAGCCCAAGTAAGGGCCAAAATGTAATGTGTTTCAGTTCATATATCCATCCAATCTCTAGGATCATGGACCTCTCAGCAATGAAGAACCTGTCCTTAGGCATCACAGATTGCTATCACAGCCAAAAGATAAAAAAGCTTTTGGGAATCCTTTTACCCAACAGCAGAGAATGCAGTTAGTGTATTCAAGGCCTCATGAATAGGAACAGGATTTAAGAAGACGGAAGATAATGATTGACATTGCATTTAAATTTTTGAAGATCAAAGTTGACTCAGAAGCAAGAAACCAGATTCTTTTTTGCATTTTATCAAGAATCTCTAAATACATATCAGAAGCCCAGACCAGATATGTCAGCAATATTCATGGATGAATGATAGACTTTACAGTGAACCAACTTTCCTAGCAGCAGACTTTGCAATTGATTCAATATAATCTTTCCACTTCATGTCAGCTAAGAATTTTAGCCCAACAAGGTGAAATGTGTCACCATTCTGCAAGGCAAAAAGGCTTTCATTTTAGAGGCATTAAAATTAACAAACCATTCAATGCCTCAGTTAGCAACAAATTGTGGGTCATTTTTTAGATCAGCTGCCAATTAAGCTTTTTTATCAAAATGATCAGACTTATTATTAAGACAGGAGTAAATAGTTTTGTCATCAAAATCAGGAAGGCCATTTATGAAAAATTAGGAACAGTGGTCCAAGGATATAGCCTTGGGGGACACCTGCATTAATTCAAAAAGATCTAGAAGTCTGGCCATTCAAGACAACTTCCTTTTTGATATCTGATAAGAAAGACTGAATCAGTTCAAAAATTCACCTGGGAAATACAATAACCTTTCATCTTGTGAAGAAGACCAATATGCCAAACTGTGTCAAATGCCTTCAAGATATCCAAAGTAACAGCTCGAGCTTCACCATTCTTATCTAAAGCTTTATAGACTCTTTCAGTAATAATAGTTAATACATCAGCATTTGACTTAGAGATGCAAAAGTCATATTGCTTATCTGAAAGAAGATACTACAAGGTGAGATGCTTAACCAATTCAGTGTTGATTAGAGTTGTTGTATTGCACTTTTCAGGCATTTAATATATAGTCCTTCAGGACCAAGTTCTTCTGCTGTAATATCTGACAAAATGTATTTTAGGCCGAAAGTCACGTCATAAATACAATTGGTATTTAAAACTTTCTTTTTTGTTTTTTTAATTTCATTCAATTCAAAACATACTAAATATATTTCAGTTAAAAATAATAACACCACAAACTAATATGTAAAGATATGATGCTTGAAAAAAAAAAAAAACAAACACCTACCAACAAGTGAAAACACAACACTGAAAAAGCATCAAAGAAACACAATGATTATGTACAGATGCAAACCTATCACAACCCACGAAAAAAAAAAATATTGATATTGGTTTATGAAAACTGAAAGCATTCAGAAGATATTAGACAAACCAGAAAAATGGCCTGAACCATAGAAAATTAAGTAAAAAAAAAAAATCTTAAACATAAAACTCTGGTTGGCCTTCAACCAAACCTGCCTAAATAAATGATTGTTGCACAAATACAAAAAATATTCGAATCAATGTTATTATATATAAAAAAAGGGAAGGAAAAAGTTTTGGTGAGAAATACAACAAACAAAACATGAAAGATACAAAGAGAGATAATGTCAAGAATAATAATACAAAATGTTTAACATTTCAATATTAATGACACAACACCCACTCCTTTTATGGAAGATTGATTCCATCAATAAAATTGTTGTCTAAAGAAGTTCCTTTCCAGATCAAAACATATCACTAATTAATAAGTTTTACCATCTTCTCATTGATTTGCCCACTATTATCTCTCACAAAACATTGTGAAATATAACAGCTAATAAGATAAAAGAAGTAAATCTCATTTTCAGTTATAATTTAATTTCTAAACTTTTCAAAGCTCAACAATGAAGAGAAAAACAAAGGAGAATCTAATTTCAAAACATTGATAATTACCTTAATCTGAGAAGTCGGCATAAATCCATCCATTTGATTTAAAAGTTCCAACATTGTTCTTTGCACTTCACGATCACCAGCTTTTTCACTATCGAATCTCTTTGTACCTGAAATCAAACACTATTTTGATTACATTTTCTGAACAAAAAATGGATCTTTACTTCATAAAAAAAAAAATTAACTATATATTGAGTTTTTTTAAATCAATTTTGAAGAAATTGATAGATTGAACTTTTTGCAAAATTTCCTTATTACATTTGCTACATATTTTCTATTTATCAAAACCCTAGCTGAGATACCCAGCATTGCCCGGGTGTATATGGTTGCAATTGTATAACTGCACCCTCCATATACCTATGCCATCTAGAAATGTCTACTTGCATCCCTGCTTGCATGTATTATTCGTTGGTATACTAAGCTACTCCCTCCCCTCTTTTTTATGGGATGTCCTTCGCAAGTGTTTGATTGTTCTTAATAAAGGAATTACATCAATAAAACCTTCTTGTGTGGTCATTGCTCAGGGTTAAATTGTTTCAATGTTTTAGATATTCAGTAAATTTCCTATGGCCATAATAACTATGACATTGTTCACAAATCTAATCATCAGACAAAAACAGGGATGAAGCATCAGAGCTTGATTCAACTGCAAATGCATGAATGCTCCCTCCTTCTTCACACGGGGTTAATAAGAAGTTCTTCAGGAATTTTTCCCTTTTAATATTTCAATAATCCTTCTCAAACTATCTTTGCATCAAAGGTTGTTTGAATGCCAATTTAGGATGGAATCATATGAAGAAACTATTGGTTAAATTGTAAAAGCCGATCTTGGATCTAGTTTATCACAAATTTTGCCCACTTAACTGAAATAATCTAAACCAAACATTCACGCAAGACAATTTGTATATCATACATAACATACATGGCAAATTTGGAAAGCATTGGATGAAAAACTAGGTAGTTATGGCTGAAAAACAGTATTTTTTAACAATTTTTTGTGATTTTTTTCATTATACACAGGGAAGTGAGCAAGACTAAAACCACACTATCTTATTTCTTGCATGATGGCAAAAATGATATTTTCAGTTTTTTCCAATTTTTTGTGTGAAGCCAAATTCACAGTAAATTTTTTCATTACATGTAAATTTGCCTTGGTTTTTGAAAAAAATCATATCCACCTTCAGTTTTATTGATTTTTCTGCCAAAACCAGGGGGCCTGGGGATTGAAAACTTGGTCTTGATCTAACTTGGTTAATTTGCAACATGTATACAATTTCATCAAAATCAGACAAGAAATGTGTATGTGCATAAATAGCAGACACACACACAGACATTTTCTGTTTTATAGATAATTTATCATTAATTATTTTTGGAAAAAGGAGGCATTACTCTATTTTGCTTATAATGTATTTTTAGGAGATCATCATGGCTTTCTTTTTTCATAAATTCTTAGTTATAAAAAAAAAAAAAATATAAAAGTAAATTCCCAATTTTTATGCATAATTTGGTTTAACACAATCGGTCAATGATGACATTACAACAGTCATACTGTAATTATAGGAAGGACTAACTAAAAGTTTAATGAATTTGAACACTATGTACAAATATTTTTTCTTTTAAAATCCCAGCTGTTTGTTTTTTTCTGTGTTGATGTTGGCTTCTGTCTATATCCTGTTGAAAGACCTGTTCTTGAATGATCACCGAAGTTAAGCAGTATTTAAATGGGTGACCATTTTGGAATGCCAGATGCTGTAAACTTGGATGTACAAGTGGTTTAATGGATAACAGCTCAGAATTGAAAATCGAAAAGCCAAGTTCCAATTCCAGTCAGATTTGTTATATTCACTTACACGCGAGTACCCCCTTGCAAAAAGTATGGATCCATATATCCCCCCCCCAGCTATACACTTGTTGCACTTTGAATTCTTAAAGGGACACTCAATTCTTGAGATGTAACCTTCCACATATGAAACATACATCTTTCTTTAGCTCGTATGTATGTGTATACTTTTTCTTCTTTTTTTCCAGATGGTGTCTCAGATTTAGGATTCTCCGACATTTCTTGTAATGTTAGTTTTTGATTCTGTTCACGTTTCATTAGAACTCTAGCACATATTTCTGCATTTTTTTTTTTCACCATTAACCCTTGAACAAAAAATTAACCTTTTAACCATACCCGGAGTCAATTTGTTTAATTTGAATCTTTCACACACCTTGTTAAAATATTCCAGCATATGTGACAAAAACTTCATCTTTTTTCATTAGATACATACACTTCCAACAAGTATTGAGTAACAAGCTTTTCTCACTAAAAGAATATTCACAGTTTCTTCAAAGCAAATTTTTCCTGTTTTTTTTTTTCAGTAGTACAAAATGATAGTATTTTTCATGTTCTACTGGTGCCAACTTTCTCAATAAAAGTCTTGTGTTCTTCTCATCTTCACAGTTACTGCAAAATTTGCTCATATCTTCTAAAATAAGCAGAAAAGGTTATTCTATCATCTGAATTTTATGTGAATTAAGTTATGGCATCTGTCATCGCGTCAGGAGTGAAAGAACTTGGGGAATTTTCTGTTTTCTTCCATATTATTTGAATTAAATTTTGTTGCTGGTTCTGTTGTTACTGTTATTGTATTTTTACCACTTGGGCTATATTTGAAGAATGTTTGTTTTTCTGCTTTTTTTTTCTCTTCTTTACACAAACCAAAGAATAAATTAAACCAACATGGTTCCAATTTCATTGCCACTGTTATCATATGTGCCAAAGCAAAAATACTTTTTCCTACTCCATACAAGTTTTGATTTCTCAATGCTACTGTTATACCTCAATCCTAGCGGTTATAATAATTATGTCTTGCTTAGGCTACTCGCTGTGACATCATTAGAATTCCTCCTGACTGACTCTAACAGACTTCTATTGACTCACTTTGAGACCTTTAATTAAGGTGTCTTGCCTTAGGTCATTTGTGTTATTTAGGGGTTGGGAGGGGGGCTCTTATTTACTCAACAACACACTCTATCCTACTCGTCCTCATAATACTCTTACTTCCCCCCTCCCTTATAATCTCAGCCTTCACCTTGATTAGCCCTTAGACTTTGTATTTAGGGGAACTATCAGTAAAAAAAAAAAAAAAAAAAAAATAGTGTGCATCATACAATATCTATGGATCATCAATAAAAACATTCTCATTTTTTTTTTCCTTTTTAAAGACAAACATTTGTTTTTATCCCATTTCCAACCTTGCCTACACAACATTTACCCAATATATTTTTCATTAGAACTACTGAAAAGTGTCAGTTGTTATAAAATCTTCAAAGACTTTATGTAATAAATTAACAACAGATCAATTTTTCTTAAAGAAATAGAAAAATATTTAAAATCCAACTTACCAATAGCATCCAATTCATCAATAAAAATAATTGCTGGTGCTTTCTCTTTGGCCAGAGCAAAAGCATCTCTTACTAATTTGGCACCATCCCCAATAAACATCTGTACAAGCTGAGGACCAGCAAGTTTAAGGAAAGTGGATTTAGTCTGAGCAGCACAAGCACGAGCTAACAACGTTTTGCCAGTACCTGGTGGGCCATATAACAATACACCTGACAAACAAACAAAAAAAGAGAAAATATATATTACAATAACAAAGTACACATGTACACTTTTGATAAAAAAAAAATCAAAAAAAAAATCAAGAAATCAGTGTCACTAAAAAGGTAGGAGGGTGCAGTTATCATAATGGCTTTCAACAAAGAAAGTGAAATCAGTGAACCAAGTTTAAATTCTAGTTGAGTTTGTTGTGGGGGAAAAAAAAAGATCATGTTAATTCTCAGATAATAAAGAAAAACAAATTAGTGGACATCCATGATTGCCTTTGTTAACATTAAAAGCTGAGGTTATCAGTAAAACCTAATTCCTGATAATCAAGATAATTAATTAAGAGTTAAGTAAAATTAAGAAATTAACCAAAAATCTAGTTTTCATATGTCAAAGAGGATTAGTTCACAAGGAAGAATTTTATTTTGGAAGCTAAAAGTGCAAAACAACTTTCTATTAAGTTATCCAATTAAACATTTGAATCCACGAATGTATGAATTATGATCGATAGATCAAAATTTTCAATATAAAGGGTTTTTTTTGCTTCAACAGGCTATGTTAAAATGTTGTTATTTTCTGGACTATCAATAATAGATTAAAAATTACAATTTTATGATGATGTAAAGAATGACATCAATGATATGTAAATAACCATTTAGAATAAGAACTGAATTAAAATTAAATTATGCTCTCAGATTTTGAAGCCTGTTAACAGTAGAATAATTCTACAAGTTCTAAAGAAGTCCTGATAATCTGATTCTTACCTTTTGGTGGTTGAATTCCAAGGGCTTCAAATCTTTCTTTGTGTGTAATTGGCAAAACTACAGCTTCAATGAGCTGAAAGTAAAAGTGTACTGTGATTGAAAGAGACAAAAACTTTCATTCAACAACAAATAGTAATTATCCCTCAAGTTATAGTGTTCACCTTGTAATCTGATCTTTGAATATACACTGCGTGCCAAATTATTATCGAGATAACTTTTTTTCTAATATTTCAAAAACCGTCCAATCAATTCACACAAAATTTTCACACAATGTTGGCAACACTGAGCTGCGCAATCACTAAAATTTTTGTACTGATCTGTGCAATGTAAACAAACTGGCGCCATATTTATTATCAGCACGGTGATTTGAACGTGCCAAATTATTAGAAAGATTTAGTAAAATTCCCAGAATTGAGCAAACAAAATGTTTATTAATGTTGAACGTGAATGTTTATGATCAAAAGAAGCTAATAAATAAGATAATCAAACAAATAATAACAGATACAAGCAAAGGCACAGTTTTAAACAAATTAATAGGGAATGTGCTTTCCCCGTTTTGAAATTACTTGAAAAAGTTGACGATCCATAGAATTTGTTAATTGTAGGATGTCATCTGCAGTAATGTCGCAAGATATATTAAGAATTGCTTCCCACAACTCAGCATTGCTCCTGAATTGTCGTCCATTGACATACAGTCTTCGCTTCATGATGCTCCAAAAGTTTTCGATTGGGTTCAAATCCGGAGAAGTTGCTAGCTACTTCATTTGTCGAGGTCCATCGAAGCCTAACTGTTTCAAATATTCAGTAGTCTTGTGAGCAGTGTGTGAGGGAGCATTATCTTGGATAAAAAACAATGGCCCTTCTAAAGGCAACTCTTTGCCTTTTCATCCACGGTTCAAGATGCTCCTTCATAAACGCTATATATGCATCAGCAGTCATTTTGACGTCATCTGGTACTCTCCATGGGCCCACTAATGGGTTTCCAATAATACCACCCAAGATCATTATGCCTCCACTGCTTGTTGGCGTCTCAAACACTGATGGCGATTCTGTCTGTTCATTACCCAGCCTTTGCCCCATCTATCTGGCCCATCAAGTGTTGCTAGAGTTTCGTCTGTGAACAAAACTTTAGAGAAGTCAATCTTCATATTGTCCTCGCCCATTTCAATCGATTTTGAATGTGATTTCGTCAAAGGAGACTTCGATACAGGTTTGACTGTTGTTGCTATTTCCCCAGATACCGACACCGAGTACTTTTTTAGACACAGTAGGATCCCCAATACGACTGAAAAAGCTCTTGACTGGTAAGTCCAGGGTTCTACGGGCTCTCGCTTAAGTCGTGACATGAGACAACGTGAAATAACCTTCGCCTTTGCCTTTTATCTACCCTTTTTTGCATTTGTGTAGGGTCGGCGGTGAATTTTCACTGTTTGATGACACTTCCTATCATTTAAAAAAATTCTTGGGTAGATTTACCTTTTGAGAGTTCTGAGGTAATAGTTTTCTTTTTAGCATCACTTAAACTGCTTTTACAGTCCAACTTTTCACTAAATTCTTATACTTTTCTAATAATTTGGCACACTCAAATCACCGTGCTGATAATAAATATGGCACCAGTTTGTTTACATTGTGCAGCTCAATGTTGCCAACATTGTGTGAAAATTTTGTGTGGATTGATTGGATGGTTTTTGAAATATTAGAAAAAAAGTTATCTCGATAATAATTTGGCACGCAGTGTAGTTTTGTGTCAAAGTTAACTTTGCCTAATATATTCTTATATATTACTAAATGTCTAGAAAGAGTTTCAAAATTAATCCCTAACTTTACTGAAAATGCAAGCCAATACAAATTTGATAATTTTTCATACCCCCTAAAAACATTTTTAATTTTTGAAAATTTATTTAAAATTAATTACACAAAACATTTCTTTTTTACTAGCTTCATGACTATTTAACTTATGGCATTGTTGTGTGATATTATGGACACCCATATAGAAAAGAAAGAGGTCATTTTATCTTGATCCGTTTGATGGATCAGCAAATAGTTTCTTTCAGAGTTTTTGTCTTCTAAGCAGCATCTACATTAACCAAAGGGAGAATGAAAAGTAAAAGGATTTTAGGGGATAAAGTGGTAACAAATAAGAGAATGGGCTATATCCAGGCGCTGGTCTATATACTAACAAATCATGATAGGTGAGGAATTGGGAGGTAGGGTCAAGCTGACATAGAAGTTGTCCCAAGTATCACCTACCAACCCACCTGGATGAGGAGGTGAAACCCTGAACAAAACACCTAATGTGTAATATACAAAACAGGAATTGCATTCTTATTGTTCAATATAGCACTTGTCTTTCATCATTTTACCTTGTAAGATCACAGTACACTCTTCTCCCTGTTTTTTGTGCATACTGACAAGACCTGGGATTGGAAAGCAATGTGAACTTTGTAAAGTCAAACTGATTTACTTCGATATTCACATTCAATTTTGGAACCTCAACATTCATTTCAAAGGAAATTTGATAAATAAAACAGGCTGAGCCACACAAGTTTCCTTTCTGATAAATTCTTTTAACTTTAATCTTAGCTAACAAATCCTTCTTACTTTCACTAAACACGGATACAGCCAGGGTGAAGTTTGTCCTGTACAATAAACGTTAAGATACCTACCTCTTCGATTTGCTTATCAAGGCCACCAATATCACCATATTGCTCAGTGGGTCTTTCATCAACTTCCATAGCTTTAACCCTGGAGTCATATCTATGAAAAACAAAAATAGACACATCTCAGTAATTCTGTTACTTTATAACAAATCTTAACCTAGTACACTCACTAGTGCTATATAGTACTATTCAAAAAATGTTTAAGATAGTAGTATCAACTGTTAGTATCTTAAGGCACATTAGTGTAACCTGAGTTTTAATGAAGAATTTGCCTAAGAGAAGGACTCTTCTTTTTCTAAAGATAAGAAAATTTTTTGTGTAGCTCTGCAAAGCTGTACAGAAAAAGAATTGTTCTTTCTTCAAAAATCTTCTCTTGTTGTCTTCTGCATTGCTAACTGAAGTCATTGTTTCATAAGCAGCAATGACATGATGGATAAAGAAAGTGATAGCCTTTGAATAAAGGCCACTCAATAATAATAATAACCATTATTGTTATACTAATAATCCAAGAAATTAAGTCATATACAAATAATCATCACCATTTTGCTTAAGCTTTAATCTAGACAAAACATTTTATAACAAAAATAATCTGTAACTTATTTAGGACAGAAAATTTAATAGGAGACTATAGAGAGAAAGAGAAAACATTCTGCTAACAGTTCAGAATTCAAGTTTCACTATTCAGCCTTTCCAATATTCTTAATAGAAGTTATTTGAAAAAATCTGGAAATGAGAGAGAATAAAAGCTACTAAGGTTTACTAACAAATTTTCAATATATAAACAAAATTATTTACTGTTTTTTTTTTTTACTCTTTTCCCAATGTATTGTCTTCCTTTAATATTTAATTCAAGTTTATTTTAGATTGCTTCATTTCTAGACCATTTCTAATGTGTCTCAACTACAAAAAACATCTTCAATTTGTTTAACTATTTTTCTGCAAGTACATTATAATATTACAAGCTGAAACCAAAAACATTTATGCTGATCATGATCATCCCTAATAAGAGCAAATGATATTGGACAACTTGAAATTTAAGTCATAATTGTTTTGGTCTGAATACCTAAGCAAATAAATACATCCAAATATAAATATGTACCTGACCACAAAAGGTTTTATAGAAAAGCAACAATATAAACAAAGAAAATGTCCTTCAGTCTTTTGAGAGCTTGCAATTAAAGAATTGAATTTCATTAGCAATGATATTGATAAGTTTAATGTTAGCAAGTGAAAGAGAAGAAAAATCAAATGCTAGGAAAATAACAGATTTAAAAGAAAAAAATTTTTTTTATTTACCAGATTGATGTCTGCAAAGATAGTAAATTTTATTAAATAGAATTTAGACTCCCAAATAGGAATACAAGATGAAACTGTAAGATTAGTTTTCCCACTAAGTAGATCAAACATCTGTTTCAAAATCTTCCATGAAGTTAGCAATTTCCCACTTGGATTATCTCCCTTAGTTTTCATTTTCCCTGTAAATGGTAATTGAACGACATTCTAAAATGGTCTATAATAGCCAACTCGATTCTCACTAGGAATCGGACCTATGAGAAAAACCATAATTGGTATTAAAGATTTTATTTCAATTTAAGTGTCAGTCACTGCAGGACTTATTAAATGTATATTTGAAAAAAAAAAAAAAAAAAAATTTCTTTTGAATAAAATGACTTTCAAGGTCTCCAGTTTTTAAAAAAAATTTATACTTACTCTTGAGGTAAAGATTCCAATATCAAGTAAGAATCCTTATTCACACCCTGTAATATTCAAATAGTGACAAGTGAATCATTTATCAAATGCAATAGACAATCAATAACATTCAGTTACATAACAAACCTGCAATTTAACAGTCATTTATAATAAATAAAACAATTAAGAGCCAAACAGAAGTTTTAACATAAATGACCAAAAATTTATCAAGGAATTAGAAATGAAAACCAATGAAATGAACTTACCACCAAATCTCCTGGATGGAGTTTCTCTGCATCTACTAAACCAATGACAGGCAGGAAATATGTCTAGAATAAGGAAAACAATATTAACTAAAGAAAATAGACAATTTTACACTTAAATTCCATGGAAAAATTATGCTAAAATAGAAACTATTAAATAGAACTTATACATTCAATAGCCTTGAAACTGTCTATAAATAAAAAGTAAAAAATAGATTAAATATACAACTATTCATTTGCTCTTATGTAGAAAAATGTCCATTTTTAAGGATCAAAGAAATCAATTGAATTATAGAAAATTTTATTATTTAATCAAAGCACAAATTACCAAATTCAAAGTCCTCACAAGTTAATCACATTTTCAATATACTGTTGAATACAGATTAACTAAAAAAAAAATATCATTTTCAAAATAAATTCTCAGTTAATAAATATAATTTAAGAAAGATCTTACTCTGTAACACAAAATTTATAATTTTTTTTTTATTTTATTTATATAATAATTTTTTATTTACTACCCATTATTCAAATTTCAATTTGTAATGGAGTCAAAATGTTAAAAAAAAAAAAAACAAATAAATTTTGTTTTCTACAAATAAGACATGATAAATAAAAGCTTAGTATCATGGCACCTGTCTTGTGGATGTCTTGATGACAGCACATTTTCCTTTTCGCTGAGCATCCAAATCAACATTAGCTCCATCTTCTTCTTCTTGGTCCTGAGGATCCATATCTAACAGCTGGAAAAAATAACACAAATCAATACACAATAATTTAAGCCAGGAAAGTAAGAGGTCAATAGCTCAAGAGAAAAGAATAAACAAGTAATTTAATCTAGAAGCAGTTATCTCTATAATATATATAAAAAAAAAAAAACACCTATTTTGTCCCTTAAATAGATGGGTTTTTTTTTTTAAATTTTCAACAGTGACTTCATTCAAGTAGAGAAAATAATGAGGCCAAAGAGGAACAAAATGCTCCTAAATGTTCACAGCCCAGAAGAAATAACAACATAAAATTCTAATGTTTCATCATATGGTCAGATTTAATGAGGTAGGTTCAGACAAGAACACTTCTCAGCACCCACCTCACATTTATTGCCATAATATTCAGAGACATGAAAGTGTGGGGGGTGCATTATTGTCAAGCATTTTCATAAAGTAAAACTGTCCCTGCATATAATGTAACAAACTTTACATTTTTTTTCTAATTTGAAACAAATAGAAATAATTTCAAACGCATCAAGTTTTTTGTTTTTTTTTATTCACAAAAAATTGTCAATACAAAATGAAACCAAAAATTATGAAAACTAAAGCCCATGAACAAATTTTAAACAGTTTAATAACTCTTCATTATCTATTTCTATCTTTATCCTAATCAGAATGTGATCAAAGAATATAGGTAGAAAAATATTAGCACTAACAAGTCATTCACATTTCTATAAGGCATTATATATATATATATATATATATATATATATATATATATATATAAAATACCAGATGGTAATTTAAAAAAAAAAAAAAGTGGTTCCCAAAAATGGTCTTGATATTAACGATTTTGCTGGAATGTATAATTAAGAGTTGTCCAATGTGAGTCTATAGATACAGTAACCCATGATTAGTATGCAACTGAATAGAAACTAATCAATTTGGAAGAAGAAAAAAAAATTCTATCAGTACTGCTTCATATAAAAATGCTGATTGTTGACTTACCTCTATAACATTAGATACAAGATAAGGTAAAGTTTTGTTAACTTTGATTTTCTCAGTGTTTTCTTTAATCTTTTCTTTTTGTGCCTGCAATTCATGTTTTATTCGTTGGTCATCTGTTCTCATTATCTGAAAAAAATGGAAAAAAAGATTTCTTTAGGGATTATCCATCTTTAAATTTTGGTAAATACTATTCAGTCTTATACTTGAGCAGTATCTAAAAATCCCATACATAGTGAAAATCATGCATAAATCACCTAGAAATAGATTAAATTTACAGATCTGATCAACATAAATGGCATTTATATTTTCACCACATTAATAAAATACAAAAGGTATATTTAGTCTGAAAATATTCACAACATACAAAATTCATTTATCTTCAAAATTATTTCCTGTCTTTTGTTTTTCAGTTGCATTTTACAATAATCAGTGTTTTGTAAAATTTTGGAAAGTGGACATTTAGATTACACAAGTAAACACATTACTTTCATACAAGTATAGAAACAAAATTGCTTTGAAAGGTTAATTTCAACATAACAAAAAACTTTAGCAAAAATATAAGAATATACTGGAGCTTTTTTTAAAGAATAGATATTTTTTTTAATCATTTGAAGTCAAGATGTCAAGTCAGTAACAATAATATTATAGACACTTTAGATTTTGTCAAGAAACTGAAGATATATAATAGAAGCACCAGACCAGATAGGGCAGCAATATTCAACGCACAGAAGAATGATAGATTTATAAATGTGTAAGATGGTTTCTGGCAAGAAAAATTGTTTAGCACGACATTGTGAACCAACTTTCCTAGCAGGAAATCTAACAATTGATTCAATAAAATTGCTCTACTTCATGCAAGATGAAGAAGTTACAAGGAATTGTGCTCCTGGCGATTAGCATCAGCCATGCTGATGAGGGGTAAAAATTGTTTTCTATGATGATTAAAAGATAGCATTCATTTTAGAGGTGTTAAAATTTACAAGCCAGTTCCTGCCCCAGTTAACAGCTGATTGGAGGTCATCTTCAAGAGCAGCTGCCAGTATTATTTGAACCGATCGAATTTACTCTTTGAGAACTGATGACATCGGCAAAGATTGTTGAGGAAGATAAGAAACAACATAGGTCCAAGGATAGTACCCTGGGGTACCTCCACATTAATGGAAAAAATGACTGGCCATTCAACACAACATTCATTACACAGTCTGTTAAGAATTAGCAGATTAAGTTAAATATTCAGCCAGAGACACCATAGATCTTGAGCTTGTGAAGAAGGTCAGCCTGCCAAAACCCTGTCAAATGGCTTTGAGATATCTAAAGCCACAGTCCAAGCCTTGCAGTTTTTACCTAAAGTTTGATAGACAAATTCAGTAATAACCATTAGTACATCAGCAGTTGACTGAAGATTCTTTGAAGTGAAATGCTTAACTAATCCAAAGTTGATCAGAGTCTCTAGTGCTTTACCAAGAAGCTGTAAAAGACTAATAGGGCGACAATTCAAGGTATGAGAACATTCACCAGATTTCTTAAAGACAGGAACTAAATTTAAATGTTTGCATTTTAAATCTTTTTTTCAATAATCAAAAAATTGATTAATATATAAATTTGAATCCTTCAGAGAAAGTCAATATATTGAGAATAAAAATTTATATAACTTTTTCTCCAAATCTACCAATGAAAATTTTTCAAATCTATTTTAAAAAAGTCTCTGAAGGATTATTATTTACATTTCTTTGGGAAGCATTGTTAAACATTATTAACTTCTAATATTTTTGATACATATTCTTTTTAAAATTGCAACTCTCAGATCACCTTTCTATGATTCTTAGTAAGCATCAAGAATTAGAAAAAAAAAAAGATATATACCTCGGGTAAGATTTGAATTTGCTTCCCTTATTAACGAAAATCTTGCGTGTCTGTAACAGCTGTTTTACTGATTAAGATACTAAGACAAACAAGTTAGAGAAATTTTCATCTAACCATAAAACCTTCATTCTTAAATAATTTGAAAGAAATAGATGTCAAAAATGTTTAATAACCAACAATGCTTCATTTAATAAATTTTCAAGTTTATGTAACAAAGAGACGGCAGTGTATCAGGCATTCAGGAAAAGTAAAGGTTGGAAGCTTGTTATTACATATGCACCCTTCAGTTGGTGTGTGCGTGTGTGTGTGAAGAAGGCTGTAATAAAATGTTTTTAGCATGAACTGAACATTTTGTGAATATATTGTATCTGATTTATAGTGTAACTTCTAATCAACTGAATCATAGCACGTCTCCCACTGTTTATCACTCATGACAATCCCAACATGATTCATTTCTACTGAGATGTCACTCAATTGTCAACCATTTCTACACCCTGGTTTGTCAACTAAACAAAAGTGGCAGATGGAAGAATCTTCATTCAGCTATGCAGCAAAATTAGATTTAATTTTTTCTAATTGGTTAGTCTTTGTAACCTGATTGATAAGGCAGCTGTCCCAAACAGCCATTCTTCCCATAGATAAAAAGGATACAAGTTTTATTCCAACAGGAGGCTTATATTTCCAATCCTTAATACTTATTAATCAATATATAATTACAGTCCCTAAAGTGTTTACAAAGATTGTGAGATTAGGAAAAAAATTACTGATAAAGCAAATGTTTTTATAACTATCTGCTGGCAATTCATCGTAGACTGGTTCACAAAGTATGGATTAACAGAAAGAACATACTTTTTTTTTTACTGAGAACTGTACTTATTAAAAAAAATGTGTGTATTTATGCAATTTAAGGGTCCCATACTTAGAGAAAAAGAAAAATGATCTAAAGAATGCCATTCATTCTTATTTGTCCATTAAATATGAAAACAAAAATATTAGATGCATTCATTGAATGCTTACAGTTCCTGAAAGGGCATTTGAAACAAAGATAATTTAACCCTAACAAATAGACATGGGGAATTTATAAGCTTCAAAAGCATTGTTACTACATGAAAAGTTCAATTTAGTGTCAACTCTTTTATTGCCAATCACATTATTGTCGAGGCTAACCCAGACAACATTTTCTCTATCAACATAATGGCAGTGTTGACAAGTCCTTCTAAACAATACATTCAGGATTTCATTTTTTTTGTTTTATATAAAAATACTACTGCAGTGACTTATTATCACAAAGTGATAAAATGGCATTAGGAAATTAAGTAATTCAAACAGTTAAGTGATAACTTCTACAAAAGAAAATTTATATTAAAAATTGGTGGCAAAATACACACTACCTAAAAAGTGTATCAATTTCAAATGAGTGTGAAGGACATAAAACCTAATAATTGAACGTTAAACTCATTGTTAACTTGATTCAAGAACATAACCTTTTCATAATAGGATGATTGGGTCCTTATTTTTCAAGAATTGTGAAGATAAATCAGAGTGTTACTTTGAATGGTGAAAAGTCTCAATATATAAAACCAGAATTAAAGAAGATCACCAATCAATGATAATCTATACTTTCAACAGTATGGTGCTACTTGTTATATATTTTAAAAACAAATCCTAAACATTGCCAATAAAGTGAATGATTTCACAGAGAGGCTGATATTAACTGGTAATCAACATCACTTGACTTTTGTTGCATTGATTCAGGAAAGTTTAACAAGATTACAAAATATTTTTGTAGTTTTGAATTTTTTTTTTTTTTTTTTAAATGTACTGATTTTATAAGTACAGAAGGCAATATATGACAAATCTTCCAGACAGTAGCTGCTCCTTTATCAATGATTAAGCAAGAAATTATGTCACGTTTGTCCACCTTGCATGCACTCCTGTCTTCAGCTGGAGTGGTGTGCTAAGGCATAGTTTTGTGAGTTAAAAATAAATAAAAGTACTAGGTACAAACTTTTAACTGAAATCAGAGTTCACAGTTATTAACATTCAGCCCATCTACTTTTGGGAGACTTAAAAACAAAACAAAAAAAAAGTTCATTTTAGTTGACAGATTTGTCAATAGGAACAAATCAGTAGATTTTACACATTAGAAAAAAAATTACAATCAACCTAAATTTAGTTTGAAATGCACCAAAGTATTTTTCTCTTTTGGACTATTTTCAATTTAATCTATTATCTTGGAATTAAAACTTCAAAGATTTTTCATTTTCTTTTTTTTAAATGCATTTTAAAATTAGGTATTGCTGTATTTAGGTTTGTTCCTTTTTCATTTTTTTTTTTGCATGGTCTTACTTTTAAATTTTCATTATTTTCTTTTATATATATATCTTACCATCCAGCTTTTCTAAGATATCATTAGATGCCACTAGACAAACATGTATGGCTATATCACTACCAATATATAGCATTAGCCCCTGCTGATACCAGATGTCTGATCTGGCTAGTGTAATGTGTCCTGATCAGATAACATCAGTAAAATACAAAGAAACGGTTAGACTTTTAAATTTGGACAACAAAATAAAACCATGCATATGTATATAACGCTTACATTAATTTTATTCTTTGTGAAGTATACATGTTCCTTACATGTAAGTCATATAGATTTTGTAAAAAAAAATTATAATAAAAAATAAGAACCACCAACACCATGGACCTTTCCACCACCACTCCAGCCCTTTGGTAGCACCCATTTGGAGAATCCTAATCCTAACCAGTTTCTTATCTAGGGAAAAGAATTTAAGAAGGTTGTAGTTTAATTAGTTTCTGTTTTGAAGAAATCAATTTCAGTAATTTTAAATTTCTTTCTTTGATTTGTTTTTTTACGGCTTATCAACCCTTTGTTGGTTATTTAAAGCCATATTTTGGATTGTAAGAATAATTCTAGTTTTTTTTTGTTTGTTTTTTAGTAAAGATTGCATTAACAAATTAATGCAAACATTTTTCTGGCGATAACAATCATTGTTCCAGGTACATTTAACTTATAGGTGGGAGTGGTGGGGAGATATGGATTCATAACTTTCTGAAGGTTATTTATTAATGAAACTCAACTGAAATTCGAACACCGCTATCTGATTTCTCATTCTGAGCCACTATCCATTACACCACCTACCCATTCACTTGGTTGGAAAATTTTACCTTACCTAACATGTTCATCAGAAAAAAATTACAATCTCCTAGAAAGACTGTAAAAGGTACCTCTAGCTATTTTTTGCTGAGGAAAATATAAAGTTCTCAGAGGATAGAATCATTAAATTGCCTGAAAGAAACAGATTATGGCATTATTCAATTATGTCCAAAATAAAAATAAATAAATGTCTGTTTATTTAATAAATCAATCTTTTAGTCAACTAAATAAAATACATTTTTGTTTGAAGTTCAAAGACTTACAATTACACTTAACATTACCTTTTTTATCATCCAAATGAAAAGAAATTGATAACTTACACTGACTTCATTGTCTAATAGACGAGTCCTGCCTATGACTTCATCAGTTGACATACGCAGCACCTCCTCACCCAGGGCCTCCTTAAGAAAACAAACAAAAAATAAAATGAATACAATCAATAATTAAGCAAAATCTAACATTATTTGTTTTGTTTTTTTTTAAAATAAAAAAATGTCTAACTGAATTTACTAAATAAAACTTACAAAATATATAAACACAACAAAGGCAAAAAAAAAACAAACAATTAAAACATCTTCTGGTAACAGCACTGTATACATGAAAGACAATTTAAAAAAAATATCCAGCAATATTTAAGGAAAAAAAAAAGCATTTAAAAAAAAAAATAATAACTGTATTTAATTTCAATGAGAAAAGCATTAATGTTGAATTAGTTCCATATCCCACGTTTCCTGTTATCCAAGAACCCTTATTCATCAAAAATCATATAAACCCAATAATGTTCCTTACTTTCCTCACTTAGTGGGAAGGAAAAAAGAAAGAAAAAAATAACTGCCTTTTACCCCACCCTATGAGTTTTGCATTTAATTTAGCCTCATGGAAAAGCAAAACAGATAATTCTCATAACAGACTGTGTGTGTGTGTGTGTTTTTAATATAGGATCAGTATTTTGAGAGCTATGGCAATTCATTGTAGATTTGTGTAGCTACAGAAATTGTATGGGTTCCAAGATTGACAACTCTTCATCTATCACATATTGTAATTGCAGCAACTCTTATTCCTATTTTTTTATAACAAAAGAAATCAATTTCTTTTGTATAGAGGAATATTTTAGAAGCTAACATGGTTTTTTTTTATACTCTTAAAAAAAAAAAAAAAATAAAAAATAAAAATTTTTTTTCCACACTTAAAACTTTTTCAAATCAAATACTTACTTTTCTATGAATACTATTTTAATTGAACCAAATGTTTAATGTCAGTAAATATTTATGTGCAAATAAACCCTATTTCTAAACTTCTAAAGTGGTGCTCTGTATATGCAGATGGTGTAATTGTTAGTAGATTCAAAAGAGAAATTGGCAAATAGACTTCAATATACTTTCACACAAATAGACTTATGAATTCATCTCTTTTCCACTGCTCCTCTCCCCACCATCAGTTATGATTTAAATAGCAGGGCTGACTGGGTTTTCTCTCTAGTTAGGGTTGGCAACCAGTCTAGGAAAAGTACAACTCTGAATCTAAAACCTGAGGGGAGGACTGTTTGGAGACTTTTGGGGTGGCATACTGTGCACCATCATTTCTCTGTTATCAGTTCTTCTGAAAAACAGGGCTGGTTCTACACAAGCCTTCAACACTTGAATCAAATCATACATTAGGTAGTGTTTGGCAATTCAGTTCTAAGAACTAAAATGTCAGTCCCTCATACATCATAATCAAGAGAAATCCTCAAACAAACACACACTATATATATATATATATATATATATATATATATATATAATCTCCAAGCAAGTATTGTTAAAAGCAACCAATGAATTTTTTATAGTATTTTCCAATTTCCAAATAAAATGTACATCGGGATGAAAATTGTGAATAAACTGTCCCAAGTTTTGTGCTTTCTTCTATTTTATTCAATTTTGATTGTCTCAGTCATTACAAAGAACTGAGTGTAGTCAGTGTCATAGACAAGATTTTGTAGACTACATCCTGGCATTTTTAGATCACAGGAATTGGAAACAGTTCAAAGTGACATCATATGTAACAGTTAAACAGAAAAGCATACATGTTATTTTGTATGCATATTAAATATTTTATACACATTTCAATATACGATATCCTGTCAAGAAAGATTTTTATTTAATGTTGTTTCTTTTCTATTATAATGGCTTCTAGAATTTTGAGTCTGTCTTTGCAATGAGTCCTTTATCTTATTTTGGTGTTATCTACTAAAATTTGTCAGATGCTGATAGTTATATTTTGGTTGTTTGTTGATGGTTAATATGTACATGAACTGCACTAATTTTTGACAAATGACAAGTCAACCTACAAGAAAGTGTTGTACATGTGTGGCTAAAGTATTGCTTTTTTTTTTTTATTATTTGTATTGGAGATACAATCTCCCAAAGAATATAAAAATTCATAAACAACATTGTTTTTTTACAAAGGATTGATTTTTGAAATCCTGAGTTATTGGTAATAATTAGGTTATGTTTTTCATTTTTTTTCATAGTAAATGATAAATCTAAGGTATTATTATATTTTAATGGTATTTTTCATCTTGTTTATATTTAGAATACATCTGATTATGATAGTTTAACTTAATGGTGACTTCATTTTTGTTTATATATTTTAGATGATTGTGCTATTTTTTCTAAATTTCTTTAAAGCAACTTTTGTTTGTCAGTGACATGGTTTGGGAAATTATTGTTGATCAGTGTTTGTTTTATGCTGCTTAATTCTTTATAAAATAATATACCCAGGAAATTATTTTGACATTGTTAATCATTTTTTTTTATAACTTCTATTTTATATCTGTGTGGCCATTCACTTTTGTAATTGAGAAGACAAATTTTTACTTGCATATTTTTTACATAGTGAAGTAATAAAATTATGACAACATCAATGAAAACATTAAAAAAAGGGATTCTATTATTAATGTTGGGTTCATAAGGGGCTGACAATTATTCTCAAAGATCTCTTTAAAGTTTGTTTTTTATTTTATCTAAGGTTTTCCATTAATATGAAAATGTCATCAATATACTGAACATACAAACAGACCTCACATTAATGGATTAACAGTGGGGTGGGAGGAGTGGCCCATTAAAACCGATTGTCCATAGATGGGAAGGGATTATTTTTGAGTTATAAAACCACAATAGTAACTGCCAGTAGTTATGATCATAATCTAAATACTATAAACATGTATATATATATATATAATATATATATATATATATATATATATATACACAAATAATACAAAAAATACAGCATGACACACGAAGAATAACATTGATAGCACTCTCTCTCAAAGGGAATAATTTTAATATATACAGTTAAAAAAAAAAAAAAATGCAATAGCATTTTTATTATCAATATTAAAATGTACACTAAAACTTGTTAAAGTTTATTTACCCTGTGTAGATAGTGGAAAAAGGAGTTTTTTTTCTGCACTGATCATATAGCTGGGACTTAGATTGGTTTATTATTCTGAGTCAGAGAAGCTATGAATTTCCTCTTAAGCACTTAAGCACAGCTGGGGCAGGTTTGTGCTTAAAAAATGAATCCAACTTTAATTGCTTTCCACACTTATACTGCTCACAAATTATTAATTCTCTTAATGTGCAGAGGTGTTGATAATAAGCTTGAATGGAAGGATTATCTGTTGTATCAATGAATTGTAAAAGACTGCCAATGGAATCTTGTACAGGAGACATTTTTGGTTTCACTACCCCCCCCTCTCTTTCTCAGAGTCACTGGAGATCTCAACTGAATCATCACCAGTTGCAACTGATTCTGCTATTTCCTTTACAGAAAGAACTTGGTAATCGGTGTTGAACGTACCACTTGTACACTGCTTCTTCCAGTTCTTTTTTTTTTGTTTCTTTACACAATACTTCTCACATACTTTTATGACCAAAACTCCAGCTTGTAACCTTTTAAGAATCTATAATTTATCACTGATACTTAGGTTTGTACATTTCCTTTCTACACTTTCCTTCTGCTTCGATGCCATGATGAGGGCAAAACAATTAATATATTAATCAAAATAACAAAAATAATAGATTTCTCACGCACATGCTAACTATTATACTTTATATACTGTACACCTATCTTTGTTTATAATTGAAAGGCCTGCTGCTGCCAGGCAGTCACTTTGAGAACTAATACTGCTCATTCTGCTAAACCCGCAAATTTCAAAATACAACACTGACGATTTTTTTGCCAGCAAAATTACTTTGTTTTTTTTATTTTGCCTGTGGGGGGAGGGGAGTAGATGAGAGGTTTGTCTGTATATGGATAGCTCGAAGAATTAAAGACTTTTGTTTTCTACACAAGTCATTAGAATTTAACAAAGTAGAGCTGAGAAGTGAACCCATAGCTACACCATCAGAGTCTCTGTGTGTAACTCTTGTCATCTTACTTATTATAAAACACAGATTGTGTGTGTGTGTGTGTGTGTGTGTGTTGTATATTGGATACGTTTATATATTGGATACATTTTTCAACTGATTTCAACAAAACTTCACAGGACTACATAAAATTACCTTGCGGTGGTTCTGACAGCGCCAAAAATTGGAAAAACAATTCATTTTGCATGAAATCAATTTGAAAACATGATTCTGTCACCAGAATGAAAGGGGGACAACTCATATCGAGTTATAATTATAAAATCCAGGTTGTGTGTGTGTGTGTGTGTGTGTGTGTGTGTGTGTGTGTGTTCATTTATATATGGGATCAGGTTTCCTACATTTTTCAACCGATTTCAACAAAACTTCATTTTTTGGGGGCAGGTAGTGTTTCTTATTGTCTTGCACACTTTTTACTTTATTTTTACATTCAGAATGCTTTAAAAATTCCATTTACAAGACAATTGTTTATAATAAAATTCTATTCAATCAATAGACTCATAACGATTGAAAACAATATTTTTGTTTGAGTTTGACCAATTAGTAAAAAAAAAAAAAAAAATTAATTAAGACATGCGTGTCTGTCAACCTTAAACAATAATCTTTGTCAATTTTATTTTTCAGTCTTTATAATGGTCGATACTTGATCTATCTCTTACTGTTACTTCCGTGGGCAACGCCGGGCTCTACTGCTAGTAATGATTATAGAAAGGTAAATCTACAGAGAATTGTTAGTTTAATATCAGGAGGTGGGAGCAAAGAATGATTATATACATTTTCTATTACTCTGTCTATAGTTTCTTTGATAAGGATATTGGTAAAAAAAATTTTCAATGTCTAACAAAGCTAGGATGCTGTTAATAGGTCATTATTACTATTAATGAATTAATGCAAATATTTTAAGAACACTAATGACTGTATTGAGAATAAAAAAATTGTATAAATATTTTACCAATCTTACAAATAAAAATTTCTTTGACATGTATTCC